ACAGTGGGTTTAGCTGAGCTGTTGAGAACTTCAACAGAATTGCCCAGGCGTGATTTTGACAGATTGTAAGTGTAAGAACTGACTGTTCCCTAATCTTGATGATAAAGGTGAAGAGGGGAATGTGTTGTTCAACAGTGCAGGGGACAGGAGAAGAGAAAAGGAAGGGCTGAGGTTCCATTTTTGACACCATTTTGCTTGAGTTCAAAGAAAGCAGGAACAAGAAGGCAAAGTTTACAAGAAAACTTGCCCTGATGTGTTCAACTCTTATGTAAAATATAAAAATAATGAGACTAGGGTTAAAGAAACAAAGAAAATGCTGATAACCTATGTTTGTATGTGGAGATTTGAAGCTCCTTTTCAGTGACACTAGGAGTTTAATGGGCAAAGAGTAAAAGGATTTAGCATAGCATTTTAAAAATGTCAGGTGTTAAATGCTAAGCCCACTGAAATCAGTGGAAGTCTGATGTGCACAGAACTGCAAAGGTCAGGTTATACAGAACTTTTCAAAAAGCTGGAATCAGCAGGGGAAGTAACCCTTTTAAAGGGAAGTAACCACTTTTAGGTTCACATTCAGATTCTAGAAAGTGTACATCCCTTGTTAAGGTGCTCCCTATTCGCTTTGAACAAAATCAGTTAACAGTGAAATTAAGACAATAATTGGTTTTACTTCTCTGTAAAGAGTGAGCAGTTGCAAATAATTTCTCTACGCCGGAGAGAACCTACATGTGTACAGCCTAGGGAGAAGTACCTGTGTTGTCTGACAGCTGTGTTTGCTCTCTTCTTGAAGTTTCTGTGATACACACTTTTTAAATGTTACTGTCTACAGAAAGGTAAATGGCATTTCTGTAATAGGAAATATTACCTATACAATAATCCTTGTGGGACACATATATACTCAGTGCTAAGCAAGATTCCTGAAACAAATATTGAGAGTATATGTAAGTTTTTGTTTTTTTTTTTAATATGCATTACCCCAAAAAACCCAATTCATTGAAGATCTCCTTCAAAAAAACACATCTAGAGATTTTAGAAAGATGCTGTATATTTTGGTATTAACAAGGATGGAGCCTGCAGTAACAGGATCATGGAACATGAAGAGGAAGGGAAGAGAAAAAATCACACTTTATCAAGAATTTTCCCTTTCCAATTTGTGAAAGTCTTAAGCCTCTGAAACAGCTATAAGGAAAAAATCACACTTTCAAGGTGACAGAAGATGAATTCTGTTCTAAAGAGCCATAACTTGCCAGCATGCTGCATGGGGCAGTGTGGCCATTGTGTGAAGTGCCATTGTAGTTGTAATTTTCGTATGTCTATTTGGAGAAGAAAAAGAAATGAAGCAGGTTGACTGTGTTGACAGCCTTTCTGGTACCCAACATACAGGATGTTTGTTACAGCTCTGATTTCACTTTAAGATACTGACAAAACCATGCTTTTTTTTTTGAGGCTGTTAAAAGAACTTATTGAGAAGTATTGAGCAGACTTTTGGGGAGTGCCACTCATCGCTTACATCATCCAATAGCTTTTATGGAATGGTTTATTTCACCAGGACATTGCCAAGGTTTTGGGGCCTCTTATACCACTAAGTTGTCTGATATGGACTCAATCCAAGGCATATTTGAAGAGGAACTATGTATCTTTGAAAACTGACACACGCTTTTGAATGCTTAAAGTACTGTTTTCCTGCCTTTTTATATTATTTAAGTGAGCCAAATCCAAATTGCTTGGAGTTTCTTAGAAGACATAAATCTCAGCAAATGGTAGGGGATATTTTTATCACGCCTGTTCATTTCCAATTTCATCCAATGTTGATTATCTGAGGGGAAACAAATCTTCAAACATACATAATAATTAACTCTCCTAAAGATAATAAATATGGTCTGTCATTGCAATAACTTTCTTCCTTCAGCAATCTGGGGACGGTTGAAGTTCTGATCTTGTAAACAGCTATACTTAGATATTTTACTGACTGGAGTATTCTAATTATTTCCTTCTTTCTTTCTTTCTTTCTTTCTTTCTTTCTTGCTGGTATTGTTTCTTTTTATTTGCTGTGATTATATTCTTTTCTTTGTGATAACCCATGTTAAGATTACAAGAAGATTAGGACATCCCTGTGACTAGGCTTCATCAAGTCATGTACAAGATAAAGTCTGTTTCTACAGTAACAAAGTTACCCTTGATAGAGCAGAAAATTAGGGTGAATTACTGAGAACAAAGACAGCATTTGGAGCATTACATGGATGTCTGTTATAACCTGTAACTTGTTGGTTTTGTAATATAAAACATCAGGGATGTCTGTTTCAAACTGCAAGATTTGCACATGTTTACCCTGAATAACTTTGTGTTAGAAGATGATTAGTTTAAGAAGTTTATTGGGTGCAGTGTATGACATACAGTTACTGTGAACCACAGGTTTCCGATTAATGGAGTGGCACTGTTTCCATGCAAAAAACTCCTCAGTAATCGATTTATTTCAATCATGTTGTGCTCAATGTAAGTTATACACTGTTCCTTTCAATTGTATAAAATAGATTTTGTGTCATTAACGACTCATAGGTAAGAAATTCAGTGAATTTCTAAGGTCTACTTAGCAGTTCACAGAATAACATAGACAGATTTGGGGAAAAAGTGTCACTTCAAAATACTTTATTGTAGAAAGCAAGAATGCAAATAAGACAAAGTTAGTTGGAGTGGTTCAGCTTTAAGGGGAGGTTTCCTCTGGAAGGAATCATTTTGCTGTCTGGTGCTCATTGCCATGACACGCATTCCCTTCTTTTGTCCTTATGGAGTAACTTCCCAGAAGGCTAGAAGTACTCACCAGTTTCACCAACAGCCTGAGAACCAACAGCTTGCTATCTCATCAGCATGGGGCTATCTCATCAGCATGACACACTTCTTTTCCTATCTTGTTTGATATTCTTTCTCAGCTGTATTGCAGTGGAGCTCTTAAGTCTGCAGAGGGGTCACACGACTTAGGCAGAGGCTATGAATGGAAATATTACTTAATGTAATGTAAGCACTAAAACACATCCTAGAAGTGCTTGCTGCAAGTATATGAATCAGTGGCACTGTGCATGGATTACACTGTGTGTGCCAGAGCAGCCAAGAGCTATTCTGAATTTTCCAGAGAAATCTTTTGGGCTGCTTCTACTCACTATCACGTTTTACAGGTCCTGATACCGATCAAGTAGCTTAACAATATCTGAAAGCAATTGAACTGTGGAGAAGAGGTGTTATGGTTTAATTTTTCAAGGCTGACTAAGCCCTTTAACATTGCCAGAAAAATCACTGCTTCTGAGTGCTCCAAAGCTCTTCCTGCCAGCTCCTAGTGTAATGAAAAAAGCATAATGAAAACAGGCAGATAGCAGCATGCTGCTGCTGGAAGGGCTCACCCAGTCGTTCCCTGCCCATACCCAAAGGCAAGAAAGAGAACAGACAGAGGTGAGATTTGGTCGTCCAGACAAGACTGGGTTGTGAATTTAGCACTCCAGTTTTAGGCTACAGAGCTGGTGCTGGTACTGCAATGCAAATACAAAATAACTAGAATTTTCCCTGATTTAGACTGTTACTCTGGGTATCACCCTATTGTAGTGAATGAGGATGATGGGACAGAAAACCACAGAAAATTTGGCAGGATCACACAGACTTTTATTCACCAAATTTAAAAACTCTTAATGAGCTGTACACTCTGAGATGCACAACAACATAAGCTACAAGCTTATGAACAGAAGGATGAAGTTGCATGTAGCATGTTCCACAATGCTCATTACAAGAGAACATTTGTATATCCAACTGTTAAAGTGAGGCAAAGTAAAACATGTTCTTAAACCTAGTGGGATTAAAGATGAAAAAATCAAAGCTTTTTCTTTAGTAGCATTCCTCTGTGACCTTAGGTTTCCAGTTTCTTTATGGAAAGAGAAGACGATAAAAATACGAGCTTGTCAAAGTTGGAATGCAATTATCCACCTTGTGCAAGTTTTGCATGGGATCCACCTGCAACACTACTAAATGCTGACGCCTGCTTTCAGCTTCCCAAGGAAACTTGAAATATAAACTTTAATCAATATAATGCCTTTGATTAACATCTGGCTTATGTCAAGCTAAACTTAGAATGGTATAGATAGAATCATTAAGGTTGGAAAAGGCCTCTAAGATCATCTAGTGCAACCATGTGCCTATCACCAATACTGCCCACAAAACCATGTTCCAAAGTACCACATCTACACACTTCATGAAAACCTCCAGGGACACAGTCCCCATCACCTTCCTGGGCAGCCCATTCCAGTGCCCAAACACTTTTCCCAAGAAGTTTTTCCTAATATCCAACCTGAATCTCCCTGGTGCAACTTGAGATCATTATCTCCCATCAGTCTTACTTGGGAGAAAAGGCCAACTCCCACCTCGCCACAACCTCTTCTCAGGGAGTCGTAGGGAGTGATAAGGTCTTCCCCGAGCATCCTCTGATTCAGACTAAATAATCCCATTTCCCTCAGACTCTCCCTGTAAGACTTGTGCTCCAGACTCTCCACAGCTTTGTTGCCTTTCTCTGGACACACTCCAGGACCTCAATGTCTATTAGTGGGGGCCCAAAAATGAACACAGTACTTGAGGTGCCACCTCACCAGGGCTTAGATGGCAGAATCCAGTTCAATCCATTTCATAAATGAGCATGATTTTATACCATTTTAACAAGAGGACTTACATCTTGATTTTGGACAAACAGTGAAATGCTGCATATTTGTGCGGAGCTGAATGTTGGACTGACAACATCTCCTGAACCTAAATGAGAGAAAGCCGTGTGTGGAAGCTCCAATTACGATCTTGTAAAAAAAAAATAAAAAATAGAGAGAGAGAGAGAAAGGAAAAAAAAAGAATCATCCATAACAGATGCACAGGCACTCCTTGCGGGACACACCTGCCCACGGGCTACCACCCCACCCCGTGCCCGAGGCCGCTTTGTCCCTCAGGCTCCGCCCCAGCCCCGCCCCGCCGCGCCGCGCTGCGCCGCCCCTGCCCGCCCCCTGCTCCTGGCGCGGCGCTGTCTGCGCGCTGCTGGCTGAGCTGCGCGGCTGTGCGCAGCGCGGAGTTTGCTTTGTGCCCGCGGTCGCGGCAGGACGGCCCGCAGGTAGGAGGGCTCCGCCCGCTCCGTCCCTTCTCGCTCCGGATTAGCATCTCACCGCAGAGCTCGGCGGGCGGTGAGGGAGGGAAAGGGTTAGGGGGAGACAAGGGATTTTTCTGTCGAGGTTCTGCTTGCTTGAAAGCATTCCAGCCCAGGGGCGGACAAACGGCACGAAGTCTCGTTCCGTTTCTTGGCCGGGAGGTGCACGTGGAAAATGCTGTGAGCGAGCCCTAGCATCCGGCGGCGGCTGCTCGCCGGGCCCCGCGTCGCCGCCCTGAGCCGTCCTCGTTGGGCTTCGGGAGACCGAAAACCCGGCGGAGATTCCCTGGGGAATCCCGGCGTCTGCGGTACCGAAAGCGGCATCCCTTCCTGGGGAGAGGCAGCAGCCTGACTGCCGGGAGAGCTGCCGCTTTACAGAGCTAGAGTTTCGTCGTTTTCTGCCTTTTAGGGTAGGAAAAGGTGGTCTCTCTCCAGACTTTGCCATTTGAACTTGTTTCATCATAGCAGAGAGATTGCATCATGTTACAGTCTTGGATTCACTAAGGGCAAAGGCAAAAAGAACCATCCTTCCAGATCTATCCCATTGGCTTCTCCATCTGACCCCCTCCTTTTTATTTCCTGTTTAACAGAAAGGTTAAAACTAAAAAGCAGCGTGTGATTGGTAGAAGGCTGCTCAGTTCACAGCGACGTATTTTGATTTCTTCCACTGAGAGGTTTTTTTTGGAAACTCGATTTTAACTTGGTCGGTTTTTGGTGTGGATGTGTGCGGGGGCAATATAGGAAACTTAGCAAAGATAGAGAGCATAGGAAAACAATCAGTGGCCATAGAGAGCTGAATACGCAGCTGAACAGATGTTGTCTTACATATGAGGAGCTCTGGAATCACAGGAATTGAGTGGATTCAGAGGGGCATCTTCCAAAAGCGTGGTATCCATGTGCCCAGAATCACGGAGCGGATGAATGAGTGCCCGTGTCCCAAAGGCCGGGCAGGCCAAATGTCAGGAACTGAAAGGTGTTTAGCTGATCTCCCCTATGAATGCTATACCAGTACTTTGATGCACCTAATGCTTGCTGTGTTTGTGCCTGTTTGTGTGTCAGACCTGTGTAAGGATTGATCTTTTCAGCTGAGGTCTGTCTGTAATAGGTCTCAAAGCAAGCAAGATCTGATTAGATGTTGTACAGCAATCCAGAGCTTCCTTGCCTTGCAGTTCTTTTGTTCTTTGTGCAGTTCTTTGTTTTGTCCCGGAGGTTGAACTGTCATGGCACAGCTCAGTTTGGTTCTCAGAGGTGTTTACCCCAAGTGTGGTATCACCCTTACAGGTGCTCTCACCGTTTGCTCTGAGTGTTACAGGACCATCCATTTCCTGCAGGGAAAGGGCACTTTTATGGAGGGCTCCTTTTCTGATTGCCCAGGAAGGGCTGAGGTGGGGGTACAAGGAGCAGCTTGGCAACCAGATGCACCCATCCATCAACACGCTCTTTTATGGGCAGTCAGTGCCCTTCAGTCACCCTCATGCCTCCTGGTGGTCTCTATGGGAAGAGCTGCTCCATTACTTTCGAACAGTTCCTTTTTCCTTTTGGTACTGGGGTGGAGCAAGACCGAATTCTGCATAAGAGCTGGAGGGAGAGCAGTGCTGCCTTTCTGGGGCTGTAGGGCACCAGATGGGGCTCAGAAGAATTTGATATGGATTCTGGAAAAAAAGGATCCTCAGTTTTCTTTGTGTGTCTGAACACACTGTGATCACAGTGACAAGGCTGCTCACAGAACAACGAGCAGACATCCCCTGCCTTCATCAAAGTGCAGAATTGCTCAGTGTTTCCCAGGAAATATGCCAGCAAAATTCCAAGTGTTGCATTCTGTTCCTGGCTTGCAGGTGGATCTGCAGATACAAGGATTGGAAAGGTCTCTGGGGTCGTAATTTCACACACATGTGACTAATTGTGGTGTTCCTTTCAACGGTGCAAAAGCAACCTGCGGTAAGGTCAAAGCAGGGTTTGTCTTGCCCAGCTGCTCTCTGCAGACTTCCCCGAGACATTGCCTCGGGACAAAGAGCCGGTGTTTCCATGCTGCTTTGTGCAGCATTTGAGTCAGCCAATTTAATTTCCGCCCATTTTCAAAAGTTTCATATCTGATACCTCTGTCAATGAGCCCTGTTAATGGGGGCCCGCTTGGTTAAGTGCTTTGTTCAAGGCTGGGCTCTTTGTGTGGTGTGGGTGGGATGAGGAGGAAGAATGGATGTGCTCTGTATTCATTTGCAAGAGATCTCTGTCGTGCAGGTAGCATGCAAGGACTTAGTGTCCGAACTCATATACAGTTAACTGTATTATTGTGGCTTTACTCAGACTGAAGCTCTCTGTATCAACTCTTGAAAAATCATTCATCCCTTCCTGTTACACTGTTAAGCTGTCTTTACATTTGCTCATGGCATACAAATGAGCAGTACTGAGTAGAGAGATTTGGCTGTTTGAGCTCCTGAGTACCTTTAACAGAACACTGACATTATGAGCTAACAGTGATCATATCCCTCATAGAGCATCCCTAGGAGAGTACAATGAGCGAAGGGTGAATCAACATCTGTTTTTTAACACTATCAACAAGTCTGGGAATGAAATTTCTAAGAGGATGTTTTATAGGTTTGTTTTTGTATAGATGTAGTGGTATCTTAAAAGTCAGTGTTGTGTGCTTGTCAGTAAAGTAACCAGAACTGCATAGGATAGTTCTTATATAGCCTTTTTCCTAAACTGTAAGAGAAATATTTAAAAAAAATCACTGCATTATTCTTCTTGTGATGATATCTGGGGTTTTCTGATGCCAGCATCTCTCTGCCCTCATGTGTTTTTGAGCTGAGTGCTAATAGCTGTCTCTTTGGAGGACAGTTGTTGGTTGTGTCTCTATTGAACCAAAATCTTGACAAAATGCTGACTAAGTATGTAGCCTTCCATTAATAAGTGCCAGGAAAAATGTGCTCAAGTGATTTCAGATTCAATCTGCAATCTAGCTGATGTGTCGAAGATAACAGGTTTTTACCCCCATGAAGCACAGCACTTTGTGTATGCGAGATAATTGCCATGAGTTGGACTGAATATATATTATTCATTAGGGGACTGTCATCATATCATGTTCGTGAAATCCCCAAAGTCTCTTATCACTTTCCTAACCACTTCCAAACACTTACGGAAAACAAGATCTTGGGTCCTTCTACATCACTGGTTGATGTTCTGTGTCACTGAATTCAGTCTGTGCTGGTAGCCACTTTCAGTGAGCATGTTTGCTTAGTTCATCTAAAATAAAGAGATTTTGGGAAAGTGGCTTAATTCTTGGATTCACATTATCAGGGACAGCACTCTTACATAGAGAGCATGTACTGTTATCTCAGTTCTGCAGAGAAGCAAATAGCAAAAGCTCTTTAATATGCTTCTTTCATGCTCAACTACTGTTATAAACTGCCCTCCAGTGTATGAAGGCTCAATATTTGGTTGCTGTGGGTGGATCTTTTTTCTTCTTTCAAGTGCGTAAGTATCTTTTTCAAACTTACCTGCTCCCTCCTTGAATGCACATGCTTATGGTATTGCTGCTGTCCAAACATGGAGCAGAAGATAAGGGAAGGTAAGGAAGGAATTCCCCCATTATTAGCATTGAGCAGGTCCAGATTTTATTTTGCTTCAGCATTTCTTCCCAGGAGCAGCTGCAAATAGAGAACACAGTGTGACCTTCGCTGCAGCTCCTAGTGCAGCCATCAATCAGGTCTGGCAGGGGTTTTATTGCGTCTGTCAGGGGTGCTCGTAAGCCACATGCTGTCTGGTTTGGGGAGGGGGTGGGAACAAACAAAGGGAGCTACTGTTGGTTTTGCTTGAAATAAAACAAACGTGAGTGAGCTTTTCCCATGTATGCCAGCACTGGAGACGGATTTCAATTTTTACTATGAGCCATTGGTCTGATTAATAAAATGGGATCAGCAGTTGCCCTTTGCCTCAGCGTCCCTAGCAAACCATTCACAAACTAATGCATCCTCACTGGCAGTCAGTGCTCTCTGGTTAATCCTAGGTGATAATTTTACTAAGGAGTTAATACAGTTAAATTATTTTAGGTAGTTTGTTGCACACGGATGTTAGGAAAGGTTGGATATTAGGAAAAATTTCTTCTCAGAAAGAGTGTTGAGGTGTTTGGTACAGGCTGTTCATGCACATTGTGGAGTCACTGTCCAGGAGGTTTTCAAGGAATGGGTGGATGTAGCACGTAGGGACATGGGCTGGGCTAAGTGGTCATAGGCATGGCTTGATGGTTGGATTTGAGGATGTTAGTGGTTTTTCCTTAGCAATTCTGTTAAGGAAAGTATTTTCAGACTTGTCTGAATATTTGAGGAAAATAAGACAGCTTTGTCAGATAGAGCAGTTCTGGGGTTTTGTGGGAACACGTGTGCCTTCACAGGCTTTTCCAGGCTTGCATTTGGAGGAAAGTTCACAGTGAGCAAGCCCAGCCGATGAGCTCAGCTGATGATTGCATCCCACTTTTAAGCATGCAAAGCATTATTCTCACCGTGTTAAGTGCTTTGTATGTTTGCTATGAGTTCATTTGTTGTTTTTTTCTTTTTTTTTTTTCCCTACCAGCATTGATCTGCTTTTAGAATTCTACTGGAGTTCAAAACGATTTATATTCTTAGATTTTCTTCACCTCTACAACAAATCCGCACCTTTTTCAAATTCCTCTGCTGTCTTCTCATACCAGATCTGGAAGTGCAACTTTCTTGTCTTTTTTTTTTTTTTTTCTTTTTTCTGAAGGCTCACTCAGCACAGTGGTAGTTTGTTACTTCATGCAAGCACCATGTGCTTGCAATTAGGACAGTGAAAAGCTGCTAGTCCCTGTGGGCAAGGGCTGATAGGTGCATGATGGGTCCTTCAGGAAGAACCAAGAGAGCTGGAAGGAGGTAGAGGCTAGGTCAGGCCATGACGTTTTGTTTTGAGCTATACAGGAATGAAATCCACCCCTAAAGTATCTTGGGGAAAAT